GATAAAAGTATTATTTTCTTTAAATTGTTTGTATCGGAGGCCTTTAGAAGGCCAAGAAATTTGTCTAGACCCCGCTGTAACACAACTATATGTTTAATATATATAAGGGTTACCCTTTTCTTGTTGTTGTTAATCATGCGCAAATCGTTCGATTCATTGGTACATCTATTCAACTTTACTTTCAAGCTCAAAACATTGTGTCAGTCAAACCCAACTTCTTAGAACTATAGAAGTTAACTCAATTCATTCAACTCTGAACTGCCAAAACTTATAAATTTTTCCATATTTTTTTCTTTTGGCAGCACGATGCCTCCTCGTCCAAACCTAAGGCCCAGGCCGGGCACGGTACCACCACCACCAGCTTATGATCCAGCCATGGTCCAGGCTGCTATCACAGCAGCAGTAACTGCAGCCCTCTCGCAAATAAACTCTCACGGAAATGGAGGGGCGGGAAGCAGCACGAATCATCCAAATCATGGCACTGGTCATGGCCAAGGAAGAGAATGTACTTACAAGGAGTTCTCTAACGCTAAGCCAAAAACTTTTAATGGAACTGGGGAGTCATTGCACTAATGCAATGGTTCGAGAAGACCGAAACGGTCTTCGAGATCTGCTCATGCCTAGAAGCAAGCAAAGTCAAGTTCGCTGCTTGCACTTTCGTGGATCGAGCCCTCACTTGGTGGAAAAGCCATGTGAATTCAGTGACGCTCACTGTCGCCAACGCCATGAGTTGGGACGATCTAAAGGTTCTACTACTGGAAGAATACTGCCCAAGGGGCGAAGTGCAAAAGCTGGAGCAGGAGCTCTGGAATCTGAAAATGACTGGGTCTGACCTAGTCACCTACACAGCTAGGTTCAACGACCTCGCTGCACTGTGCCCTACCATGGTCAACCCAGAATCAAAGAAGGTTGAAAGGTACATTTGGGGGTTGTCACCCCAGATTCAAGGGCATGTCCTAGCTTCCGGCCCTGTTACCTACAACAGCGCTAAACGCCTGGCTCAGCGACTCATCGACCACGGAGTAAAACCCAGTATCATTTCAACAACCGCAAATCCACCTAGGGAGGCTCAGGGCCAGAGTAGGCCTTGGAACAAAAGGAGGGGACAAACTCTCCAGGAAAACCCCAAGAAACAACAAGTAATAGCGACCCACGCTATGACTGTACCTGTGAACCCTGCCCCACAAGCTCATATAATGGGAAACTTCCTAAATGCAACCGATGCAGCTTCCACCACCACGGTCCTTGCCCTGATCTTCAATGCACCAAGTGTAATAAGAAGGGACATACAGCCCGCTATTGCAAAGGGCCAACCCAACCATCCGTCCCCACTACTAATACCGGGGTAAGCCGCGCCTGCTTTGAGTGCGGAGACACGGGGCACTACCGCAGGGACTGCCCAAAGGCAAACAACCGGAATACCGGCGGAAGGGGAGTTTTCGCAATGGGACAAGATGAAGCCATTGCGGACCCTACTGTTGTTACGGGTACGTTTCTTCTCGATAACTCGTATGCATGCATTTTGTTTGATAGTGGAGCGGAAAGGAGTTTTGTGAGTCACGACTTTAAAGGCCTGCTAAAATCAATACCACAATCATTAAGTGAACCATTCATAGTAGAAATGGCCAACGGGAAAACCGAAGGCACTAAGGAGATATACTTAAACTGCACCCTAACTTTAAACGATAATCCCTTTTCAATCAACCTCATGCCAGTCTCGATTAAGAGTTTCGATGTCATCATTGGCATGGATTGGCTGAGTTCTCATCATGCGGACATTCTATGTTACGATAAGGCCGTTCGCCTTAATCTGCCAACCGGCGAAACTTTCATTGTCTTGGGCGACAAACCAAGTACCACTCTTCGTATCATCTCAAGTATCCAAGCTCGGAAATGCCTACGCAAGGAGTGTCACGCATTCTTGGCACATGTTGTAGATGTGAAACGCGAAGTCCAAGACATCAAGAGTGTGCCCGACGTACGCGATTTTCCCGACGTTTTCGAGGACCTTCCGGGAATACCACCCGCGAGACAAGTTGAGTTCCGAATCGATCTAGTTCCCGGAGCTACCCCAGTAGCCAAAGCACCCTATCGATTAGCCCCGGCAGAGATGCAAGAGCTATCCAGCCAACTGAATGAACTACTTGGAAAAGGATTCATCAGGCCGAGCTTCTCGCCATGGGGAGCACCCGTACTGTTCGTGAAAAAGAAGGATGGATCATTCAGAATGTGCATCGACTACCGAGAACTCAACAAACTTACCATCAAGAACCGATACCCCCTACCCCGAATCGATGACTTATTCGACCAACTCCAAGGAGCCAACTACTTCTCCAAGATCGATCTGAGGTCGGGATATCACCAGCTGCGAGTCCTGGAGAGTGATATTCCCAAGACGGCCTTCCGAAACGATACGGACATTACGAGTTCGTAGTGATGCCGTTCGGACTAACCAATGCCCCGGCCGTGTTCATGGATCTAATGAATCGGGTATGTCGTCCATTCTTGGATAAATTCGTGATAGTATTCATAGACGACATACTCATTTATTCAAAGAATAAAGAAGAGCATGGTCAACATCTGAGGCAAGTTTTAGAGACGTTACGGACTGAGAGACTGTATGCAAAATTCTCAAAATGTGAATTTTGGATTAGAAAGGTGGACTTCCTCGGTCACGTGGTCAGCAAGGAAGGAATCCACGTGGATCCATAAAAAATCAAGGCTATCAAAAACTGGTCTGCGCCAACTACACCAACAGAAATTCGCCAATTTCTAGGTCTTGCTGGTTATTACCGAAGGTTCATCCAGAATTTCTCCAGCATCGCAAAGCCTCTTACCGCCTTAACCCAGAAAGGTGTGACCTACAATTGGGGAGAAAAGCAAATGCTGCATTTCAGACTTTGAAACAGGCCCTTTGCAGCGCGCCCATCCTTTCTCTCCCAGAAGGGACCGAAGATTTTGTGGTGTATTGCGACGCTTCGAAGCAAGGGCTGGGTTGTGTACTAATGCAGAGGGGAAAGGTTATTGCATATGCCTCACGACAACTGAAAACGCATGAGGTCAATTACACCACTCATGATTTAGAACTTGGGGCGGTGGTCTTCGCTCTTAAAATCTGGAGACACTACCTATATGGTACCAAATGCACTATCTTTACAGACCACAAGAGCCTACAACACATCTTCGACCAGAAGGAGTTGAACA